TGGTTCAGTTTTTTATTTTTTCATTTTAATTAAGATATTAATTTCTTGACAATTAAGACCTGTCCTTATAATGTCTATATAGTTCTAAAGGCATATGTGTCAAGGTGGTTAAAATTACAGTCGTATTAAAATCAGCTCCTCATTAAAGTTGCGTATCAGGATCAGACGGGAACCAATAGGAGGTCACCTTCTTGTGACCTCCCAAACAGCCATTCATCAGTGAGCTTTCATGACTTTGAAAACGATGCGGTTTTTCAAATTACTTACAACATTTTTTTCTAAGAAATATTTTTTACTTCCACGGACAGCGATATTTTGATACTACGTCTAATGCCTATCTTTAAAGGACGATTTGGTTGCATGGCTAAAAATAGCTTATTTTGGAAATCCTAACCACAATGAAGACGAAACAAATTCGATGGCAATCAGATCTTCATGCAATGTATAACGGAGGTAGATATAAACTTAAGTCATATTGAAGAAAAACATAAATAAACTTTGATTCATTTTAAATCCCAGCACAGGTTTATTGAGCAAAGAAGCTTGATGACTTTATATGTGATCATCTACAGATTTTTACTGCCAGCTGACAGATATAATTTAGCAAGGAATCATTTTTCTCCTTTTTAGGTCATGGATTTACAACATGTACAATATAACTTGCAGTGGAAATGAAGAAAAGATTTCTGACTGCACATATAGTTTGGGCAATTGTCCAGCAAACTATGGACGTGCAAATCTTATATGTAGGGCAGCTGAATCATCTGATGGTATTATCTTAAAAAAATATTTCTTTCTTTTACAGTTGTTGTTAAGTTAAAGCATACATCATTTTTATATGTCTTAAAATCCTTCGATATTACTTATATTTGTTACAACATTCAACGCTTTTCTAGACATTATAGAAAGTGTAGTCGAGTATAGCTCAGAGTGTCATTGATTGGCCAAATTAAAGAATAGAGAACCATATTTTTTTTTTTAATTCGGACATTTTTTTCATACAAGGAAATGATTCTTTGTGCTAGAAATTAGTAAAGTATTGGTAAATATTTTTGCAAAATTTAAAAAAAGAAATGCATTCAATCGATTTCTTTGAATTATGTTTCAGGCTATACGTTTTCACTGTCAAATAATTACTACGGTAGTATTGTAACAGAACGTTATGGCATCGCAGGAAAAGTGTGTCCGACAGGATGGGATGACAACGACGCTACGGTAATGTGTAAAAGTAAGGGACACTTTTCTGGACTCCGGCTGAACATTTACAAGGCAGTGACAGACGAGTAAGTGTACTTTTCACGGAACCAGTGTTAATTACATATGACGTAATGATAAATTCATAAGAATATTTATTTTGTTGTGCCAAATAAGCAAGTACTTGAACTGCAAAATTTCAAACTTTTTAGATTAATTTCCTGTATATACTTTAACTCAAATATTTCCTTTGCCATTCAATTTTCTGGTGTCCCATTTAAAGGACAAACAATCTTGTATATGGTGTCAAAAGGAAACTCTTTCAAATATATTTTCGAAGAATCCTTAAAAAATGGTATTTAAAGAAACAAGACAAGAAAAATTATGCTTAAATAACCCAATTGTTTTTCCATGGGATTTATCTCCAATTCCTTTTCAATTGAAATGAATATTTTGCAGATATATTTATTATAAATTTTGAAAGGTTTTGTTTTAAGAATATTAAACATTGCAAGATATCAAACGCACAAAGACAGAATAATATTTCTCTGTCGTCATCATTTTATTTGTTATTAATAAGATGCGTTTAAAATGAATCAAAGATTTACTATGCGTACACAATGAACATTTTGTTGGCTGGTATTAAAATGATAAAATGTTACTTAGAAATAAATATTCTTTATTTTTGCTGCCTGACCCATTAATATATATTTTGCTGGATTGGCAAAAAATGCGTACAAATCTCAGCTTACAACTCAGTACTGCGAAGAAACAGAGCCCTTAAAATGACTAAAACGACCGAAAAAAATGATGCAGACACTCTTCGATTGAGTTGATTATGTTTATGGACGGTACTGGTAAATGCGAAACGGAACATGTTAATTAATAAGTTGTGTAATGAATATTTATCAATTTCTGTTCTTTTGTTGCTTCTGTTTTTGTACTGTCAAGCAAATTTCTGTACCATTGATGAACTTCAATCTTTCGTTGAAGGGTATTTTGGACTAGTAATTTCTCGTGCAGTGGAGCAGAATCTAGCCTTGAAGAGTGCGTGTACCAGTCAGATTTGTCACAAGAATGGGACTGTGTAGCTAGCTTAGTTTCAGCAGGTGTTTTGTGCTTTATAAATGAAATACCCGGTAAGTACGTACAGATAGCCGATAGCGGCCATTGCTAACCCGCGAGAAATGTTATCGTTTTACATAATGTATTATAAAACGTCCGTGCAAATAACAAACCCGTAAGATTTTCTGCCGAAATCGTACAAAATGTCGCGGGGAACGTATATACCTCGATATTTATTTTTACAGTTTAACAATTGTTGGAAACAGCAAGAAACATTTTGACTCCAGTGGCCGGTAGCTCCTTGGTTTAGTCCTCGTTTGTCTATTAACATTTGAGGAATAGAAAGACATACTGACACGTTTTGCAAGTGTTGTAGTGTTAACCAAAAGTCGAGGATAAATTGGACCCTTAAGCGCCTGTCGTTATAAACAGAGATTGACAGTACTGAGCCCTGGCTGACTTTTGTTAGTTACTGCTATTACATCAATATATATGAAAAATTGTATAATTCTACGTATCAGAATATTTCAATAAATATCTGCTCATTTTTCTATAGATAAACTTGTGCGATTAGCAGACGGTACCTCAGACGCTCACGGTAGAGCGGAAGTGTTCAATGACGTAACAGGTTGGGGGACGATATGTGATTCGTCATGGAATAATGCTGATGCAAGGGTGTTTTGTAGACAAGCAGGTTTCGCTGATGGTCAAACTCATCCGTAAGTTTTGTTAACAATATAAGTGTTCAAAGGACCGTAAAGAAAAAAAAATGTTCAAATTGCACAAGTTAAAATATAATTGTTCAGATGGACCAAAGTATAATGTAAATGTTCAAATAAACCAAATTGTTATATAAATGATCAAATGGAACAAATTATAATGTAAATGTTCAAATCAACCAAATTGTTATATAAATGATCAAATGGAACAAATTATAATGTAAATGGTTCAATGAACAAAATTGTTATATAAATGATCAAATGGAACAAATTATAATGTAAATGGTTAAATGAACCAAATTGTTATATAAAAGATCAAATGACTAGAATGTAATTAGTTGTTAAATAGACCAATTTTTATATAAATGTTTAATTCGATCAAGTAGTAATTTAAATGACCAAAATGGACCACATTGTAATATAAATGATCAAATGGAACGAGACTTAATATAAATGATCAAATAGACCAAGTAGTAATATAAATGTACAAGTGGACCAACTTAAGATTAAATGCTAAAATACTAATTCAAATGTTCAAAAGGACTAAATTGTAATATAGATGTTTACATTGGCCACATTTAAAACCTATTTACACTAATCTTTGTACATGTTAAAATGTTCCTACAATGGTTTATATAACCGTGTATGTTATTTTAGATTTCATTTTCAAATTTTAGAGCTGCATTTGCAAATAAACTTCCTGCCGATGACGCCAGGAAAGTCGTTCTATCTAGTTTGAGATGTGATGGGTCTGAGACGTCAGTCTTCCAGTGTCCTAGCGCAGGTTGGTTATCGGGCCCTGGGTCGTGTGCCTCCCATGATCGAGATGCTGGTGTTTATTGTTATAAACATGGTAATACTATCTTTCTTTATACACCACACTTGTATTAAAGTCATTCTTGTTATTGTTCTGTATACTATTTTTGTTTTTCTTTATTTTAAAAATAAGAAATAAGGCTTGTATATGTTTGTACAGATGCGTTTTCTTTTATTTGCAGTGCAAATTCCATATTTCTCTTACGGTCCCGTACAGTTCCACAATGGCGATAAATATGGTCTAGTATGTGCAGACGGTTTCGATAAGAAGAGTGCAGAAGTCATCTGTAAAGAAAACAACTTTTTCTACGGTATCCCAGTGTGCTGCTCCGGCTTTGGCCCGTCCTCACTTGACATTAGTTTATCAAACGTTCAGTGTACTGGAAACGAAGCCTCGTTAAAAGATTGTCCTCATAACAAAGATACCCCTGTATGTGCGAGCGGTCACTACGCAGGTGTGGTTTGTTCTCATTTCGACCAGCCCTTCACAAGTAAGTAAATACAAGGTACTATATCTTTATAATATGTTAGTTAAAAGTATTTAAAAATATAAAATGAATCTCATGCTTGGATTTCTGTGACCATTGTGATATCTACGGAACACCGATGGCGACATTTTGATTTCACGAATTTCATGAATTTGGTATTGTAAAATCCTGCGCGCCAGATGAAATAGTGTTGAGTTAAATTCTTAGTTTAACATTTTTTTCCAGGAATATCTGCTAATCCAGAAATCATTATAAAATATTTTTCACACGATGGCTATGTTTGTTCAGAGGGGTTTACAGACGCTGATGCTAAAGTTGTATGTCGTGTGAATAGTTTCGCATATGGTAGAGCTTTTAAAGCCTCTGGAAAAGGTTTAGTATCTTCATGTATTTCTTCAATGATTAATGCGACTTTTTTATATCTTATAACTTCATCAGTTATTTTGTAAACCAGCTATTCAATAAGCTATAAATTCTATAATTGCATAAAAATGAAATATATCCCGGTTTAACAATTTAAATTATAATTGTGTTAACAAAAAAGAGAAAAGCAGAATCCTTACAGAACGCCCAAGACGACAGAATTGAAAATGTTGCATTCTCGGTTTGACTGAGCCTGTTCATGGACGGTAATGTGCATGTAATCGTCCATGCCCCCTAGCACCGGCTTAAGCAGAATTAAACATATATATACTAACATGAAATGGTAAAATTTTGAATGTAGTAACTACAGCAGATATTAGAGTAGAGTTTACAACTTAACTCTGCATAAAAATAATGATGATAATGATGATGATGATGATGATGTTGATGATGATGATGATGATGATGATGATGATGATGATGATAATAAATGTAAGTAGCTTTACGTTTATTAAATACATCAAAAAATATTATGAAAATATAGGTTTAGAGAACAAAATACGCTGGTTGCGAGGTTTGGGGTGTTTGGGTGCGGAAACGAATGTCTTTCAGTGCGGTGTGCTCGATTGGGGTCAGATTGGAGTATGTTCCTGGGATGCAGTGGCTGCAGCAATATGTTCTAATAATGAAAGTATGTGGTATACATTTACATGGTTTTAAAAAAGCATTCATTTTTCTATTTCTCACAAAACTTCTGTTTACTCCGTAACTTTTATCATCTAATTTCTAATTTAAAAACAACGTTGAGTTTGAATAGGATTTTAGTCGGTCTTTCATCACTAACTAAAATATATGCTGGATTTTTACTATATATTTTCAATTGGTTGTGGTGATATGAAGCGTTTTACATTCTAGATATCAATGTTTAGATGAAGTGTTGTCGAGAAACATTAACTTTAAAAACAATGTCTTTATCTATGTAAAAAGCAAACAAAACAAAACATTGATGATGCAAATTAAGATAGATAATTAGATAAAATGTAAATAAATTAGTAACAAAACGAAATTTAAAATAATTTATACTGTACTTTTTTTAAAGATGACATCAATTTTGATATACGTCTTGTAAATGGTACCGATGTGTCTGGGCGCGTAGAAATCAAAGTAATGGGAGAATGGGGAACCATGTGTGGTGAAGATTTAACCAGAAATGAAGCAACCGTTATCTGCAAGCAGCTAGGATTTCACGCCGGAATAAACATGCCGCCAGGGCATTTTGGCCTAGGACCGGGAGAGGTTATTCTCTCTGAATTGAATTGTCAAGGTGTGTTAGATGTATTGATATTCTTTGTTATTATAGCTTTCTTAAACGAGTGTAAAATGTTACCAGAACTTTTTCCAGATCAGTCGTCATGTGTAATTCGGTAAGGCATATAATTATATTTTTTTGGATCCACACAACTTGCCCGTCAAAGAAACGATTGTTGGAAACTGTTAAGTAATAGAAAGAGCAACGAAACAAAAGGTCATCTGATTTGTACGAGGGGACGTAGCCTGATACCACAAAATGAAACCTCACAAAAAATTAACCATTGAACGAGCATCTGAATATGATATTTCCATCGCTATCCCTTGCTCTGTCGTCAATAATGAAAACCCAGGACAAAATGAACCAATCAATGGGCATGCTCTGGAGTGCGGGTAACTAATACCTGCACTCCAGTTAACGCACTGTGCATGTATATCTATACGATTTAACTCTGACACATTTTCAACAGAAAGGTCCCCAAACTATGATACAACAGGTATTTAATAATGATTCATAAGAGTTATATATTCAGAAAATATAAATTGTTTCAAGTCAGCAATCTTCTTTTAATTTTTTTGTCACTGAATGTTAACCTCTCGCTTCTGATCTCCTTGGGTTCAAATCCTGTTATAGTGACATTGTAATCTTTCATGCCTGAATATGCATTGAAGGTCAGTGGTTCTTCTCAGGAGCCCGGTCATGCAAGATAGTGTGATAATATGATGGCATGTAGTGTCTTTAAAGTGAATATACTTCTGGGATTCCGCAGTGTTATTGATACGACTTTTGGAATGATGTTTCCAAGAGCTATCTAGCTCTAGTCGTTTATTTATTAGATTTTATTTTTGTAAATTGACAAAAAAAAGTATTCTAATAGAATGACATATAGTTTTATGTGTTAACACTGACCCGTTTATTTATCTCATGGTAAAATGGACACACTATTCCTGAAATTCATAGGTACATATGTATGTATTCTATATATAGTACACATTGTTGATACATTTTAGTATAGTATACTAAAATGTATTAACACGTGTATTTAGATGTAATCATATACTGAATATCTGTTAAATAATTTGTTATAGATAGAGTTTTATAATCGATGCGTGTTTGTAGAACGTCATCCAATTGCATTGTTTTATTAATCAATATCTCCACTGAAACAATTAGGCCAAATTGTTGACAATTGTCAGGAAAGCCGAAATAAAGTTGTTATCATAAGGGTTATGTTTTCAGGCAATGAGACCGACGTTACCGAGTGTATTTGGTCAGGATTCGGCAATAACAACAAACGCTGTGATCACACAAAGGACGCCGCTGTCACGTGCTTCTATAACAGTAAGATAATGAAATAATAATAAAATAATTTTTAGAAAAAAATATAAAAAGATAAATTTATACAAAGCAATTCTTATATTTAAATTTGCCGAATTAAGTTTAATTAGTTTGAAAACTTACTTATTAAATGTATTAATTACTTGATGACTTAATGGTTGTTACTTTTTACAGATTTTTAAATGACTTAGTTTGAAATACGGTAAAAAGTCAATAAAGGATATATACAAATGTACACGTATATTGAAATATGATGTGTATATAACGCGTTAGTCCTTACAAACAAATTTTATGTGATGAACTGTAAAATATAATCTAGGCATCAATGTGTGAAACAAGATATGATTATTAATTAAGCATTGGGTTTCTACAACTGTATAATTTTTATAATGTTTATTAAACAGCAACTTATTGTGTAAGATCCATTTGTTAAATGATTACACCGATTTTCTTTTTCACTTTCAGCTCGACTTACCGGCTCAACGACGAATAATTATGGTCGACTGGAAATGTACGATACGTCAAGTTCCACGTGGTATGCTGTTTGTGATAGCAATATCAATGTAAATGATGTCATTATTATTTGCCGACAGATGGGTTTTGTCGACGGCATATATCAGCAAGGCTCACCGTTAGGACCAACGGCGACGGAAATCTCCATCATTTCGCTCGATTGTTCCGACACGTCGGAATGTTCGTTTGAAAAAGGCTCATGCTTTTCGGGAAAATATGTGGCCATGTACTGCTCATAGACAACCATTACTAATGAATGTAAGCTATAAATAATTGATTTTAATACTTATATACATCTGTAAACAACGCAGATACCTTTTAAGATTATCAAGTCAGGATTTTTTTATAACTTGTAAACAATATCTCTTATTTTCATTTATAAGTTTTCTTAGTTTTTTTTGTAATTTTCTAGGTCGCATAATGTAACAAGATTAATATGCTATTTTGTGTAAATTTAACAGCAAAAGATTTTCAAGGTATAAAAGGTTAGAAAATATTTACTGTTAGTATTGCCTTTTATACGCGCAAAAACAATCAGCGTATTATGTTATGCACCTAGTTGTCCGTCCATCCATCCGCCCTTCTGTTACATGTTTCGTGTATGGTCTGTATCTTTTGAACCGGTTGAAGGAAATTGAAACTACCTGGCATAAATGTTAACCATAATGAGAAGATGCACAAAGCACAGGGTTTGCCTTCCTCATATCAACGGCACACCAAGGCATTTTGTATCAATTTCAAAATCACATGTTCACTCTGTATCTTAATTTGAACCAATAGGAAGAAATTCATACTTTTTGGCACAAATATTACTTATAATGAGACAATGTGCAGAAAATAGGTTTTAGTTTCCCCGAGATGAAAATTGGCCCCGCCCCGGGGATTACTTGATTTATATATATAGTTATATGTATTTGCGTAGGAAAATACATGTTGATATCTTTGTGTGAACCACAATGTCTAGAGCTTAGATATTTAGCATGTAACATTGTCTTATTGTCCTTTACAAAACTGATACGAATCATGCCTCTTGGTTAAATACTGGTCCCGCCGAAATGGTCACTTGATATATATAGACTTATATAATTGGGAAAAAACACAAGCGATGTGTACTTCAAATTTGTGTTGATCGGCAATGCCGGCGGTAGCTACAGTACAGTTATCCAGTGTTTGTTGTTTGTTTTTTTATTGCCAAAATTCGGCACTTGTGACCATTGTAAATTTTGTCAAAATTGTGAAAAAAGAACTGGTGCATTTTTTTCTCCCTACAGTAGACTACAGCAAAAGTTTAATTAATAAACAAAATAAAAAGAATCCATAATTTTAAGTTTAAAATCCTTTTTGAAACTCACAGCCTTAAATGCTAAAAAAACATTGTCTAACTAAAGTCTAAGGTCAACCAAGGTCACTCATTATTTACCGACAAGAAATACAAAAATCCTTACGTGAAACATACAGCAAATGACGAAATATACAGCAAATGACGTATATTTCATCTGACAGTGCTTTGAGCCAATCAGTGTTGTGAGCTACATGACTGCTGTATGGGGTGAGTGCCTTTGATGTGACAGGTGTCAAAACTTAAAAAAAAAAATCAATACACAGGGAGGAAAGGGATCGGACATTTCAGTGTAAAAATTGAGAACAATAAATTTGGATATTGCACATCCTGTCATGGACTTGGAGCAACTTATCATTTTTAAAAATGAAATCATTTAAAGGTACCGTACTTGTAATGCAAACAAAACTGTTTCTTGATATTTTTTTCCTTTTACACACAAAAATGTAAAATGAAATCAAATTTTTTTTAAAGTGATCATAATTAAGAATTTCCTTAAAAATAACATGAAAGTAAATAATTATCGACAGTTATCCATACCAGACCTTTCTGGAATATGGAGCCTAATCATTACCTGTAACTTTTTAAAGAGTCTTTTTACTTTTTCTACATATGATAAGTGGGCTCTATTTCAGTGAACCCTAGGCTATCTGGGAAAATGTTTCCCCAGTTCATATTTAACTTCAAAAATTTAAACCACCTTGTCAAGTCACTTGCATTATACCTTCATTTAGATACAGAAACTGGTTCACAATTATCAACTCCAGGGAGAAAACAGGTTTTAGCAAGATAGCTAATTTCAAATCGAACTCTTGTTCAGTGAGCTTAATGTTATTCTGTTTCCATGTTCATGTAAAAATATATTATGTTTTAATTTATCTTAGCAGTCCAAATATATATATATATATATACTTATATACTAGTAAAGTTAACACTTTGAAACGCTTTTAAAACTTTAAATAGCATTATTTCCAAAGGGCTCATAAACTACATTTTCTGCATCTGAAACAAGACAATATATCCTGTATGTAGTCTCAAAAATGAAAAGAATTTGAATCGAATTGCTGCACTCCCTTGTTATTCTTCGCCTCCATATTTTACTATTTTGATCTGAGGAATCCCTGACATTTAGGAGGAATCCCTGAATTAAATCTCAGGGATTCCTATAGGATCCCTGGTAAAAACAGTTAGTGTCGAACCCTGCAACAAGGAAAATAACACATGACTGACTGTTTTTTTAAAGCAAATAAGATACATCCAAAATTTTAATTGGAACAGAAATCACGTTTTCTGTTGTTGTTGTTTTTTTTTGTTGTTTTTTTTGGGGGTGTGTTGGATTTAATCTCTCTCTATATATATAATATTATAGGTCCTGCTGACAGTGTCAAATGTGAAAGTGCATCGAAAATGCAGGAACTGCTGGGGGTTGTGTGGTTGAGGCTAGATCTGACGGGTAAGCAATATACTCACGGTTGAGGTTACAAGGACCCAATTTTACAATTGTCTACAGTAGAACCAGATATTTTTGCATGGCAAAATTCCTAGAATTTTAATTCAGTCTAATTTCACTAGTATTAAAATTCGCATAATTAGCATTTTCTACTTAAATATTAATGAAAAACTTATATACCCTGATATCGGGGTATAAAAATAGGTTTGAAGGGTACTATGGAAACGCATTTTTTGTTACATTTGTGTGATGTTTAAAACTGTCATTTCAAACACAAGACGTTATATTGTTGTTTTTGTTGTTGTTATTTCCAAACTAGATGGGAGGATGAGTGCAGAAGCCTGCGTAGAAAGATTCAACGCATGGAGGAGCCAATTACTGCTTTAGAGAGTCAGAATACAAAAGTGGAGGACCCCGAATTATAAGCTGTGGAACATCTTAGTGATACTCAAGAAGTCTTGGTTACAATAGCAAAGACTATCTTCACTGTGGAGGAACTTAGAACCCACTCTAGGACTGGAAAGATGACCAATAAGTGTAAGGATTCCCCGAGACCACCACTTGAACCCTAGAAACTCAGCAATCTTGAAAGACTAGTGAGGAGGAAAACCGGTGTATCAAAAGAAGTATTTAATAAAAAACTAGAGACTTTGCAAAAAGGTCATCAGAAGGAAATAAATCACAAAATAAGTGAAACATTGGAAACTGTTCTAATTTCAAGTTCTTGATTTTTGCACTTTTGAAAATCAGCAAGCTGTATTGAAGAAACTATTTCTTAGTTCTTGTTAAACAAAGATGTGTAGTTTTTAAATTTTACAAGCAGTTTTACATGTTTGTGGTTTACTTTTGAACAATATAACTTAGAGCTTATGTTGAGTACATATTGTTTAGACTTGTTAGTCTGCAAATTGATTGGTATCATCTGTCTGCTCTGTTCTTGCATTTTTCATGAATGTGAAATAATATAAATGTAGTTTAGGAACTGTTCATGAACTGAAGTTCTTGAACTGTTCTTGTACTTTTCGTGAAGATAAAATGGCACAATGAATTTGCACTGGAAAAAGTGCTAGAAAAGTTCATGTAGAGGTAAAATTCATGAACAGTTCATAATTTACTGTAAGTGAACAGTTCATGAGCATTTCATTGCATTTTGTTCAAGAACAGTTCATGAAATGTTCATGTTTTATTGAGTCATGAACTGATCAAGAACATGGGACAGTTCAAGAACTAGGTGTCCTCTGAACTTTTCAAGAATTTGTGCCATTTTGTCTTCATGTACATCCCATGAACTATTCATGAATCTAGGTCATGAACTAGAATGAATACTTCATGAATTATTCATGAACTGTAAGCATTCATTTCACAGGGGGACTGATCACTCCTGCGAATTGTGGTCAAAATCCCACCAGCAGCTAGACTGGCTATTTATATTAGCTCAAATAAATGCAACAGTTTTTTGAAAGTTTTTTTGCAGTTATTTATGAGGTCATATAAAGGCTTCAGTAGTTTTTTGAAAGTTTTTTAATGATGTCATATAAATGGTTGAAAATGCAAACACAATTTTTTGGCAGTTATTTATGAGATCATATAAATGGTTGGAAATGCTATCTCCATATTTGGAGGCAGTTTTATGATGTCATCTCATTTACATATTTTGGCTGATTTCAATGCTTTTTCAATGCTAAATAACTGCATTTTAAATGCATTTTAACTGCATTTTAAATGCTTTCTACATAATCACATTTGTCAAGGAAAACTGCTTAATAAATGGTTAAAACTGGTCAGAAAAACAATGCTAAATAACTGCAAGTTAAATGCCTTTCCTTTTCCTAAGGGATAATAAGACAATTCAGTAGTGAACGATGGCTAATTAACACTTCTGTTTGACACAATAAGACAATGTTAAGGCATTCAAACATAGTATTTTGACAAAATAACATAGCGGTTTGATGAAATAAAGCTGTACTTTGACAAGTCAGCACCAAATTTCGACAAGAGAACACTACTGTTTCAAATGATCAGACAGTCTTTTGACAAAACAGCTCCACAATTTGACCAAATAGCGCGACTAGTTGACAAAATATGACGCATTTCAGACAAGCCAAAACGTCATTTTGACATGATAACACTACTGTTTGAAATAAGATAACAATGTTAAGACAAGTCAACATCACATTTTGAAGAGATAAGACGTCTGCTACGCATAATAAGGCAATGTTAAGACAATTTGACAAAATACTAACACGAAAAGACGCTTTTCAGGCAAGATAAAAAGAAATGTAACAACATGAGGCAGCTATGGCGTTCCATATTTTTTGCCCTGCCTTTGCGGTGCTCTTATTTGATACAGGAATGATGTCAACCGTAGCAGACTGGTTTAATCTAGTATACTTATGTATTCATTTCAGACGTAGAAATAAAACTTCCTTTAAGCTCATTTTATGGTCCCGTTTCAATACGACGTTACGGTCTATGGGGTCACGTTTGCAGTAATGACTTCGAGGATGAGGACGCGCTAGTCGTCTGCTCTCAGTTAGGGTACTTGTCCGGGACTGCAGTCAAAACTTATGCTACTCCAGGATTTCCAATTATACAAGGTATCAACATTACATATAATTATTTTTATTTGTTGGCAGAATACTAAGTATTCTATATCTGTATGAATTGTGGCAGCTAAATTTAAAAAAATCACAATTTGAGAGCTTATTTACATATTATTAGATGCCATACTTTTTTTTGCTAAATGGTAAAAACTGCACAAGTAAATGATAAAGATCTCTACACAATTGCCTGATATTTTTTCATTCCCTCCATTGCAAAGTAAATAACACTTCACTTTACAGATATAAATGAAATAATGAACTGTACGTGTGAAAATGTAAATGTGGATACGCGATCTGCGTGGATAGAGATGCATCATTGAAACTAAATGATGGCGATTTAAATTCAGTTATATAAGCATTAAGCATATTTGTTCCATTTTGATAAATGTACAAAAAATGTATCTGTTCCTAACAGGATCTGTCAACTGCGAAGGTGATGAAGCAGAGATAAAGGACTGTACCCGTGGATCATTTACTGACAATCCCGGTTGTTACGACACGGACACAGTAGCCGGTGTGATTTGTTACAACAATCCTGGATTGACCTTTGAAACGAATGACTTAGATGAAGAAACGGGTCGAATGACAACGGGTGTGGCGATCAAAGCAAATGGCCAGAAACTATTTGTTTCCCAAGTAAAATTTACAAATACTGACGCGGCTGTTTACTGTTATACGACAGACTACGCTGGTGGTGAGACTTACCATGCCGGATCCGGCTCATACGGTGTCACGGACTTGAGCTGTGATGGAACAGAAGAATCTATCTTGAAGTGCCCAGCCACGTGGGACCCTCAGAAAACCAGTGGTAAACTAGCAGATCTTGCTGGAGTCACGTGCTATCCTGCTGTGAGATTAGTTGGGGGTGACCCTACATATTACGGTGTTTTGTTTACAGCAAAAGGTGTAAATAATGGACCGGTGTGTTCTAAAGGCTTTGATAAGGTCGATGCAGGTATGATGAAGTTAGAAACATTGGAAATGTACTATAACTTTTAATTTTCTTTCATTTCTATTTTTATTATGTTTACATTTTTCTTTAAAAGTATGAATTATATCTACTTTTATTTAAAATGCCTTATTGCCTTCGTAGTTCCGACATTTTTAATGTGTTTAAGCACTTCCCTCTTAGGTCAAAGTTTAAGAAGATTTAGATTTATCTTAAGCAGGGTGTCCATCTCACGTGACCTGTAACGTCATAAATGACATTGAATTGAATGGCGGCAGACGTTCAAAAACTGATGCCAATTCATATTTTCCAAGCTAGTTCTCTTATTTCAAAACTATTTTTAAACGTTTGGGGAAGCATTGCAAAGTAATTTTCTTTTTCCCCTGTAATATAATTTCAACCTGAATAAGAGGTATTTTGTTCAAACATTCGAACCGCGGTTTTAAAGTGATGCAAAATTTTAGATGGAAAGGGTGATTTGGTGTGAAGCATTATCGAATAATGTCTATTTATTTCTTTTATCGGCCCTCTTTTGATGTTTTCATTATCGCTGATGTATACATATGCATTCAAACCGAGTCTGCACTTTCATGTAATTTTACTGGTTTTAATGCTTCTGAGGGATCAATTTTGCCAGATATTTGCATGTTACGTCTTTATCTAAAATTACGTGTGAAAGTAACAAATGACATATGAGCCTCGTTTTCAGGTGTTGCATGTTCAAGCCGCCTCGGTTACGATTCTGGAGTGGTTCTCTGCTGTGCTCCGTTTGGGGATATAGATGAAAAGCCAGTCATGACAAACGTTAGGTGTACTGGTAACTAGTTTATCATACTATTTGTTCTGTAATATAATTACTGTAGAGAAATTCATATTAAAACAAACAAAACGTTAACGTATATTTAAAAATATAAAGTCACCATAGATGGACAACGTGTTGTGAACAAGACCCAGGTTTCTTTGTCTCACTTAAAGGTCACTGCTGGGGTTCGAACTTTGTCAATTTTTACCACCATACTTAACATGTAATAGGTGGTTTATAACTAGAATCCTTTGGGGACATTTGTCACATTCTGTGACAGCTCTTGTATTATGTACAATCCACTTATACATGTTTAAAGGATTTTCTTCACTAAACTTGTGTGTGTGTCACAATTTGTTATATGTAGATACTGAGCTTACAAATTAAAATAAGACTGTTACTTTAATTGTACAGGAGATGAACAACGGTTAACAGAGTGTATGCATGATGATGTTGGTAACGAAGACTGTTCGAGAGATTATGTTGCTATAGCGTGCATCACTGGACCTACAGGTAAATAATATACAAATAACCTATGTGTACATATGCACTATCAAAATATCATATTAACTACCAAATTAAAAGCATCAAAACAAAATAATAAGGTGAACAATGCAAAACATTTTGAAATAAAATACAATTAGAGAAATAACCCGTTGGGTAAACCGTCGGGTAAAAACTATTAAATTAAATTCAGGTAAACAATATAAAAATAAACAGTATCAAAAGGTAAACAGTGTCAAAACATACCCTAAGGTAAAAGGTATAAAAACGGAGTGAGTCTTAAATCAAGTCTCTAAACTTGATACGCAATCTGTACAATAAAGCATAAGTAATATATCATTTAATGAAAACATTGATAAATGAAAATATGTTAAAAAGCAAAGAAAATTTTAGTATATATTCATCTTGTATTTCAGAGTATAAGCTGAGTTTACCGTCCACAGCTACTAGTTCCTATGCCGGTAATCTTGTTTTAACATACATGGGTATTGATGGGAGTATTTGCTTGGATGGATGGGACGATAATGATGCTCATGTTGCTTGTAGAGAATTAGGATACCAAACGGGCATGGCGTACAATGCCGCAAAGTAAGTTCGGAACCAATTGTAAAAGCAAGGCGGGTAAACTTTTTAAAACTGTAAAGATAAGAGACTTTGTGGAATTTTTAAGAATCAGCTTTTCGTGTCTTTTGTTCTTTTCTAGAAAATATAATTTTAACATTTTTTATAAACACATGCCCGTAAAATAGTGTCCGCTTTTCACATAATCAAGAATGGTACATCAGTCCTAACAATTATAAACAGTGATCAGGTGTAATAAAAATCTTCAAAGAAATATATAATAAAGTTACAACATTTTTTGCTACATAAAAACTTTTACTAAATAAAAAGTGATTATTGCTTTGTATAATTGTATGATGTTTGCTACATCAAATGTGAACTTTCAAAATTAAAGTATAAAGCCTATTAACTCACTTACGTATATCAATAATTAACAATGATGATACTTTTTATACAGCATAATCTTTTATCAATGTTCTTATTATTTGTGAGTTTAGGTCTGTTTCTGGGCCATTTTGGACATCACAAGTAAATTGCAACGGAGACGAAACTAAATTATCACAATGCAAGTTCACTCCATTTGGTGAGGTGACAGGTTGTAGCAGTTTGCAAGGGCATGCTGGAGTTATCTGTTTTGACAATGAAGGTAATGCTCCTTTGATGGTCCAGTTTTCAATAATTTGAATTCTTTGGCGCATTATCTTTTGGCGCATTTATTTTCTTATTTTGTAATCTTTAGGGTGATATAAATCGAATATCTTACATTATATTTAACCGCATGTTTATTTTAATGTACCATTTGTCGAATTTATAGAATCAATAGTAAATTTGCATTTTAGTTACAATATTGAAAAGTGAAATAGTTCCCTTTATATCAAATGCAAAGTAATTAAACTTAACTAGAAACAAGGAAAGGACTATTTAACTAACATAACATTGACGGATTCCTATTTCACCGCACATTATTATTTTGTTTCAGGAGTATTTTCCCGTCTCTTTGGGTCAGGGGAGGAACGCTACGGCCGCGTGGAGCTTTCTGTTGCTGGAGAATGGCGCACGATTTGTAACACGCATTGGGATAACAATGACGCCAATGTGTTATGCAAAATGCTCGACTTTAGAGCCGGGGAAGCATTTCAGGAGAACTACAATGAGACAGCAGAAGGTCCAGTTTGGGACATAAACTTTATGTGTGGTGGAACAGAGACCGCTCTGACGACGTGCTTCTCTTCTGGATGGAAATCAGCGACTTCGGAAACATGTGCAAGGCATGAAAATGATGCTGGGGCATTTTGTTATACATCTGGTAATTTGTTTATATGAACAAGATTATTTAGAATTATTTAGAACGAAAATAAAAATATACTATGCTCATCTTTTAGTAAAATACTTTTTTCCGCAGAAATTTTTGAAATCTTGGAATTTCTAAGTATTTGAATTGAATTGAATTTGAAGTGATTTGAATAGGAGAATGCACAAACTATGTTTGGGAAGCTACATTGCCTATTGCTGGTCAAGTTGATTCGGTCCTTCCTTTAAAAACCTTCAATTTTTTAATGAGACTAAGTATTCGTCATATAATTGTGTTTACCTATATATAGTGTGTAGAGTTCTCAACGTAACATATCTTCACAGCGTTTACTCAAAAGATATTTGTTTTATATTTATAGTATTATATGTGTATCTATTTCAGTTAAACTGTCCACTGGTGTTGGACGCAGAACAGATCAAGGCGGTGTGCTTTTTAACAAAGAAGACACCTGGTATACACTGTGTGGAAATAATTTCACAGACATTTCTGCGAAGGTTGTGTGTAAAGAACTAGGCTTTGAGGATGGTTTAAGTCGATGCTGCTCTCCATTCGGAGACATTCGTCAATATCCTCGTCTCAAAACCTACAAGGTGCGTTGGTTAAAGTTATTGACTTAATAAGTTTATAAATAGGGTTTGAAATAATTTTAAAATACAAATTTGTTCACCACTACAATACCGGTAGGTCTTGAAACTGATCAAGAAATAGATCTTTGAAACATTTGGAGGCATTTCACATTGTAATTATAATCTGCTGTATTAGTAATTTTTCATTTTGTTACCAGAGCCTCACTGTCCAATGTGTTAAGATCGCTGACTTTATTTATTTTCTTTTCACCACTGAAGATTAAAACCTCATCAGAAACTAAGAATTTCTTCATGTGAAAATGCTATCCATCTAGAGCTCTAACGGAAGGTCAATGGTTCTACTCAAGTGCCCATTCGTGCTTGTAAACGACAATGTCTCACCTTGTATTCTTTTAGACGTGAGCAGCCATATAGGTAAACAACCGACCTCTTTCGTATTCAGGCTGGAAAACGTCCTTATATTAAAGAACAAGCGGATGTTTCATTGAAAATTGACACAAAGTCTCTTCTTTATTTAACCGAATATAACAATTACTAAATAAGAATTTAACATTCAGGTGATGTGTACTGGAGATGAGACGGATGTTACAGATTGTCTTGTCGAAGAGGAATGTACAGGGGAAGATTATGCATCTGTTGTTTGTTATGGGTTTTCTCTTACCACATCAGGTAGGTTACATGTTGAAAATTCCAAATACTTCGAATAATAGGTGTGAAATTCTGTCATAATTGTATGATAGGGACCGAAATTTTACTTCGAAAAATAGGAGGTATTCGGATAATGCATTTCGAAAAATACATTCGTATTTACATTGATCTATATTATGATAAAAACTGCGCTGCCGAACATCTTCGAATAATGTCGGGTATTCGAATAAAGGTTTGTCGAATAACCGGGTCGGACTGTGTATCACTTATGCAAATACTGTTTACATTTATACATATGTCCCTTTTGTTAACTTAAATATTTATTAATTTGGGGAAGAGGTGTAATGATGGTTTGTTACTTCTAGGAATGATTATTATTAGAACTTTGGTCTGTAACAGACAACTAGATTGCAAAGATTTTCCTTCTTCCCTACCGTTACATCCAGACATGAGTCTGTAGAAAATCTTAGGTTGGCGTGGCATTAATGCAAATTACATTTGATGTGGACTTGATATTTCAGTAATAACCATAATCAATAAATTCTTTGTTCTCCTCGCTTTCTTATACAGTGTAAAGAACCTGATCCGTATTAGAGATTTGTTTAAGAATTTCTGGATCAACATATATAAGCAGTGTTAGAACGATTTTGGAAAATTCTTCTATTTTTTCTTTCATATTCTTGATATAACGATTCTCAACTTGAACTTGTAAGATTACATAGTCGCATTACTCTCCCAGCCAAATGTTTGTCTCTAAGAAGAAGTTGTGATTTGATTGTTTTACACTTACAACAACGTTTACATGAAATGACATGTAGCTTAACTACGTGCCTAAATATAATGCATGGACGGGCACGGAGGTCTTCCTCCACAAGTAAAGCTATAAAGTCTCCATAAGACCTGTATAGCGCTGGTGCGACGTAAAACATGTCACAACAATTATTTCAACAATGTCTATTTGCAACATTCAATTACTTGTCATTGATTTGTTGTAACTGTGAATGTTTTTCCAGGGCCAGTTACAAAAACAACAAAGACACCAGAGGAAGGCTTTGATCCATTACCTGTTATAATAGCAGTTGTTTTATTCGTTTGTCTTGTTGTGATTTTTATTGTCGTCATTTATTGCCTGCGAAAACGGAGGAAAAAGCAAAAGATGGATGCAAGCAAAGAACATTTTGATAACACGATAATCAGAGAGGATACTGATGGGAGTTTCCAATTTGAAAACAGACTTCATAATCCGGTTCCGACGCCTGAAACTTCCCGCGTGGTGTACGGAAGTCGTGATGGAGATCATTTTGCGAAAATATCGCCAACTTACAGAAATCCAGGTTATGAAACGTCCTTTGATGTTGCTTCCAGGCACGAGCCTGTCTCCTCCGTTGGGTCTTCAGAACAAAATAAACCTGTTTCTGATAGTAATACGCACGTTTATGATTACCCAATAGCTCACAGTAGCACAAAAGACCCTCATTTATACCTCAGTTTAAAAAGGGAAGGCGAAACGTCCCAGTATTCGCAGCCACGGGGTTCAAACATTGATCATTCCAATACCTCTGACATGTCTGACAGTACGAACAGTCATATAGCACTAGCGAATCAGGATGAGGTGGCATCTCCAACAGATGATAAAGTTGAACCTCATTTCCTTCAAGTTGCAGATGTCAGTGTGGATCCAAAAACAAATCCGGATAATTAGATGCTCAATACTACATGTATATGTTCCTTGTATAGCTACATTCTGTATACATATACAAATAATAAATCTCTATATTAAAAAACTTTAACATTAATGTATTGTAAAATTTTGAAATTACAAATGGCTAAAGAATTTCCTTTTTAGAAGAGTTACTATGAATGTTTATTATTGGCGACATGAATGTAATTTGTGTCGGCATTTATTTGAAAATTTGATTTATTTGTGTAAAGCTGGTTAATATTAAGTTGTTGCGTGACTGTATCGGCGGTGAATAATAAAACATGTTTTATTTGTGGTGCTTGATTGATTTCAAATGACTGGGGTTTTCAAAGTACATGTGTATATAACTTGAAGATTACATGATAACAGCCATAATTATAATCACATCTGCGAATGTGTCAAAGTTCAAATTTTTACCAGTTCATGTTAAATGTTGAATAGTGTTTAAGCCGATGCTAAAGGACTAGGGTAGTAGCTTGCAATTACCACTACCATCCGTGAACAGGCTCTCAATCAATCCGACCCTGCAGCAATTTCAATTTTGCCTTGTTGGACTTTCTTTAGATATTCTGTTTTTCTCTATTTTATTGAAGTGTAAAGATGGTTAATTTTAGCTTCCTTATGTTTATATTTAGTTTTTTGCAACATCGTTAAATTATGATATATAGTAAAATTATATTATAGGATGATATATGTTTAAAAAGTAATACTAGTATATACACTCTGAAGTTTTAATGATTTGTAGCTATTGGACTACTTACGATAAATTCGTACAATGGTTATTGTTAACATTTTGTTTCACTTATCATCTATAAGAATATTTTTAAATCTTAAAAATGCATGCAATCACATATCTCTTTTAATTGTAGAATAGTCACAGATTCATACCTAACATTGTACCATTTTCTCATGAATTTATGACTGTCCTTTCACTCTATGCAATAAATTCTTTTATTATAAATAAAAGTATACACTATGCATCATGTTTTGTTTTTTTTTTTAATGCGTGCGTGCGTGTGTTTGTGTATGCATGTGTTTGGTCATTTAGATCAATAGTGTTATGGTGATAACTGACCATCGGTCATTCAGACAATAGTAAAGATACAACCGTTACACTCGATGGCTCTGATGAATCTCTAAATGAAGTTTAAAACACACTCATATTTCTCTTTTCTAAGTGTTTTAGTAACATCGGAAAAATGACATTTTTAGAATCGAGACATCTAGTTAAAAATTGTTACATTCAGTCAAACTTGAGCTCTACAAAACTTTCAACAGGGTTTTTATCCCAAAACCAAATGCCTATGCTTATATATGAAATATTTAGAAAAATTGATGAAATAAAATGCGTACATTTGTATTTCATTTTCCGTATTTTCACTATAAAAAATATTTTTCACTGCAGTGAAACACATTTTCCGCATTTTCACTCGTGTCTTGCCGGACTAATTTCTTCTAAATTTTTGATCAGAACAATCAGAGTTAGTGTCATTGCAACAATTTGCAGCCTCTCCGCTGACAGAGTCTATAGCCTCATTCTCCTCGTCCCCCTATTCCAAAGACTTTAAACCCAAAGCTGCCAGGTTGGCCTCAACATTTATGTGAAAGATGTCATCTGGAGAAGAAATAACCCTCCTTCCCTTCACATTCTAGATTTGATTGTCATATGTGCAGTGAATGTTTCCTTCTCTTGTAAACACGCTGGAGACGTTTGAAGCCTTCTGAAATAAATAAACACATTCTTAAATTTTACAGTTTTCTTCATTAATCTTTTATGCTTGAAAACTTCATACACTTTAGAGCGCGACAAGAAACGAACAATGATTTGTGGTTTACCATCACTAGTTTTGATTTGATGGCAAGTACTAATATCTGCAGCGCAAAATACTTTATCTGTACAAACACCAGCAGCAGCTTGAAAAGAACTGGACTGAGACATCATTACTGGACTAGATCTACCAGGAAACAACTCTGCACAGAGAATGCCCATTCTTTCAAGATTTTATTCAATACTGTCATGGTTCATAAGAACACGTGACATAAAATATAAAATTGTGAACATGTAATAACCGGAACACAGAAAAATATAATAAAAATATACATAAAACAGGAGAATGCGTGACAATTATATTGTTCCCATAATATAAAATAAAGATATGACTAGATTCTCAATAATAAACGGATTTTATGCTTTAATAACAAAATTTCTCTAAGAGACTAATGATACAACATAATACTTATTATTTGCATGTTGTAATTATTTCTTTACAAAATAAAGCAAGGTTGTTTTTTTAGATGTGACTTGTTTTTACTATTCATAATTAAGATCTTCAAACTTCAATGCATTAGGATACCTATAATGATACGGTTTAATAAATTTACGACTACTATTTACAAAATGTGAACAATTAAAGAGATAGTGAAATTCGGTACCCAGTCGATTTGACTCGCATAAAATACATATACATGTAAGTAGACTTATCTCTATATATTTAGGAATCTACATTTCTCAATTGGCATTTTATGATTCATACATCTAAATTTGAACAAGGCTGAAGACAGTTGCCAAGGAAGTTTGTTAAGATAATCTTCGAATACAAAACTCTGATTTATATAAACGGTAGTTAAAAATTTTGAACAATTGCTTAAAGATTGGACATCACTGTTCCAACTTTGGATGAACTGATATCGAAGTCTGGACTTAACAAGACTATTGAAAATAATGGGCCAGACCTGTACAGATTGACTTAACCAATAATTTGATAAACCAAGTTCGTCCAAAGTATCCTTAACAAAAGAAAGCCATGGTAATTCAGTTCTATATTTAACATATATTGAGTACGCAGTCTTATATAAAATATTACAAATCTTATCATCTTTACCATCCAAAAGCTTACACCAGTAGTTAATAATACTACTTTTTAGTTTCAAAGATATCGGAGTAACTCCAAGTTCACCATATAACATACAATTGGGAGTACTTTACTTGAGGTTAAGTATAATTTTGTAAAATTACAGCTGAAACTGATCGAAATACTTTAAATGCTCTATTCCCAAACAAGAGCCATACCAAAGAATAGGAACAATCATTGTGTAGATCTACAGATAGTAACAATTTTCTAGCTTTTTATCAGAGAGAACATAGCTTTCTTCGCTTTATCAATAAGACGTTTTCTAGTTTTAACAAATTTACCATTTTCCATAAATTGAATACCTAGATAAGAAAAATCATGTACTTATTCTAGGTTCTAATTATCAAAAGAAAATTGAGGTGCATCTTTTAGATCATTTAATGAAAACAACACGGGTGAAAGAGTTTCACCTTGTCTTACGCCAGCATTACTTGCCAAACAAATTTGAAATTTTACTCATGACTTTGCTTTATCATACATATTATGCAAAATTTCCCACAAAAAAAAAAACACTAATATAATTCTTTGCAGTATTTATCTTCTTTGTCGATCTTTTTTACCTTTGCTGTATTTTAATAGCAACGTAAACCTTAGACGCTTATTAAATATATAACTAAAACAAGCGTCTGTTAACCATTGTACACGCAAACAAAATTGACAACCCGATTTTTAACAGGAAATAGATATATTTTTTGAAATTATGGCAGATAAAGAAGGCGTTGATCAATTATTTGAAATAAAAACTAATTTCTACATCGGAAATTATCAACAATGTATCAATGAAGCTCAAAGAATAAAGGTATTATTTTTTTAAGATGTAGCCATGTTCGGTTAGACCAAAATTCGGACAGCGACAAGAAAAAACACACATCTGTAGATTTCATGATTCATTAATTGGTTTTGAATATTATAATATCACATTGATGCTGTTGCTACATTAGGGATAACTTGTTTTATCTGTTACTTTTGGTCTAAGTTGGTCTCTAGCACTACAGATCTGTAGAGCTGTCATTGACTCATCATTCAGTGCAAAGCATATCAGCGAAATATTGATATCAGGTAACAAATATGGAACAAACATAGAAACTTGCCTCTGTATATGTTTTGTGTGAATTTTTGTAATTTCTAGATGTTTGATAAATAAGTAAAAATTATCATTTTTTTTAAAATGTGAGTAGATTATTCTAAATTTATTGGTCGCCAAAAAATATCAACCATACATCAATATTGTTACTATCAATGACAGCTTATAGGTGTGTACAAGCAATAACAGAGACCCATTTAGATCTACCAAATTGTAAACATCAAAAAATACATGTGACCAACACTTTTGGCGACACGCTTTTGTAAAGAGAAAATGTGTGAATAAGATCACTAAACTTACCAACTAATTAATGCAATAAGTATGCCCCAATTAATCCTAATTGACATGAATCGCCGCTAATCTGTTTATTTGTTGTTTATTGATAATAAGTCAGCATTTGACAATACTCGGAGATGTCAACCATTCAATTCCAACACTCGCTAAATTGTCGCGCTGCCGTTTCATTGGCTTTCCCAATTTTACCGAACAAATCGCTTTTGAAATAGGAGGA